GAATAAGACTGACTGGATAAGACTGAATAAGACTGATTGAATAAGACAGACTAAATAAGACTGACTGAATAAGACTGAATAAGACTGACTGGATAAGACTGACTGAATAAGACTGACTGGATAAGACTGACTGAATAAGACTGACTGAATAAGACTGACTGGATAAGACTGACTGAATAAGACTGACTGAATGAGACTGACTGAATAAGACTGACTGAATAAGACTGAATAAGACTGACTGAATAAGACTGACTGAATAAGACTGACTGAATAAGACTGACTGAACAAGACTGACTGAATAAGACTGAATAAGACTGATTGAATAAGACTGACTGAATAAGACTGAATAAGACTGACTGAATAAGACTGACTGAATAAGACTGACTGAATAAGACTGACTGGATAAGACTGAATAAGACTGACTGAATAAGACTGACTGAATAAGACTGACTGAATAAGACTGAATAAGACTGACTGAATAAGACTGACTGGATAAGACTGACTGAATAAGACTGACTGAATAAGACTGACTGGATAAGACTGACTGAATAATACTGACTCAATAAGACTGACTGAATAAGACTGAATAAGACTGACTGAATAAGACTGACTGAATAAGACTGACTGAATAAGACTGAATAAGACTGACTGAATAAGACTGAATAAGATTGACTGAATAAGACTGACTGAATAAGAATGAATACGACTGAATAAGACTGACTAAGACTGAATAAGAATGACTGAATACAACTGAATAAGACTCATTGAATAAGACTGACTGAATAAGACTGACTGAATAAGACTGAATAAAACTGGCTCTGTGTGTGTGTGTGTGTGTGTGTGTGTGTGTGTGTGTGTGTGTGTGTGTGTGTGTGTGTGTGACCTCTTGCCGGGTGGTAGGGCATCAGTCAGGGGCGGAGGAGAGTCGTACTGTCTGATGATATCCTTGATGTTACTGCTGGGGACGATGTCTACCTGAGGCAACACTGATGACTTCACCACCTCACCAGCAGGGGGCGGAGGACTGGTCACCACCGGGGCTACACATAACAGTGGGGGGGAGAGGGGGGAGAGGGGAGAGGGGAGAGGGGAGAAGAGAGAGGGGAGGGAGAGGGACGAGAGGGAAGGAGGAGAGAGAGAGGAGAGAGGGGAGAGAGAGGAGAGAGGAGAGAGAGGAGGTGGGGAGGGGAGGAGGGGAGAGGAGGGAGATTCCTCGAAGATTATCTGAGAAATCATGAATGAGGCTTGTTCTTTCTAGTGAGATGGGAAATCATCTCCTCTCTCTCGAGTTGTCTTATTTTAGGAGGGGAGAGTGGATGTCTTATTGTCTTATAAATCATATGATGTTGATAGTCTTATAAATCATATGATGTCTGATAGTCTTATAAATCATACGATGTCTGATAGTCTTATAAATCACATGATGTCTGATAGTCTTATAAATCATATGATGTCTGATAGTCTTATAAATCATATGATGTCTGATAGTCTTATAAATCATACGATGTCTGATAGTCTTATAAATCAAATGATGTCTGATAGTCTTATAAATCATATGTCTGATAGTCTTATAAATCACATGATGTCTGATAGTCTTATAAATCATATGATGTCTGATAGTCTCATAAATCATATGATGTCTGATAGTCTTATAAATCATACGATGTCTGATAGTCTTATAAATCCTATGTCTGATAGTCTTGTAAATCATACGATGTCTGATAGTCTTATAAATCCTATGTCTGATAGTCTTATAAATCCTATGTCTGATAGTCTTATAAATCATACGATGTCTGATAGTCTTATAAATCCTATGTCTGATAGTCTTATAAATCCTATGTCTGATAGTCTTGTAAATCATACGATGTCTGATAGTCTTATAAATCCTATGTCTGATAGTCTTGTAAATCATATGATGTTTGATAGTCTTATAAATCATACGATGTCTGATAGTCTCATAAATCATATGATGTCTGATAGTCTTATAAATCACATGATGTCTGATAGTCTTATAAATCATATGATGTCTGATAGTCTTATAAATCACATGATGTCTGATAGTCTTATAAATCATATGATGTCTGATAGTCTCATAAATCATATGATGTCTGATAGTCTTATAAATCATACGATGTCTGATAGTCTTATAAATCCTATGTCTGATAGTCTTGTAAATCATATGATGTCTGATAGTCTTATAAATCATACGATGTCTGATAGTCTTATAAATCCTATGTCTGATAGTCTTATAAATCCTATGTCTGATAGTCTTATAAATCATACGATGTCTGATAGTCTTATAAATCCTATGTCTGATAGTCTTATAAATCATACGATGTCTGATAGTCTTATAAATCCTATGTCTGATAGTCTTATAAATCCTATTTCTGATAGTCTTGTAAATCATACGATGTCTGATAGTCTTATAAATCCTATGTCTGATAGTCTTGTAAATCATATGATGTCTGATAGTCTTATAAATCCTATGTCTGATAGTCTTGTAAATCATATGATGTTTGATAGTCTTATAAATCATACGATGTCTGATAGTCTCATAAATCATATGATGTCTGATAGTCTTATAAATCACATGATGTCTGATAGTCTTGTAAATCATATGTCTGATAGTCTTATAAATCATATGATGTCTGATAGTCTCATAAATCACATGATGTCTGATAGTCTTATAAATCACATGATGTCTGATAGTCTCATAAATCACATGATGTCTGATAGTCTTATAAATCACATGGAATTTTGTATTCATGAATTAATTACCAAACTTCTTGGCAGGTTCCTTGTTGATGGGGATGGCTGGAGCCTTCTGATGAGGAACACTGTCGTTACCTGCTAGCTTGGCCTGAGGAGGAGGACACACACAACACACACCTGAAGTTCTAACGTCCTGACCTGCAGATACACCACAGTCAACCTGAAGTCCTAACGTCCTGACCTGCAGATACACCACAGTCAACCTGAAGTCCTAACGTCCTGACCTGCAGATACACCACAGTCAACCTGAAGTCCTAACGTCCTGACCTGCAGATACACCACAGTCAACCTGAAGTCCTAACGTCCTGACCTGCAGATACACCACAGTCAACCTGAAGTTCTAACGTCCTGACCTGCACATACACCACAGTCAACCTGAAGTCCTAACGTCCTGACCTGCAGATACACCACAGTCAACCTGAAGTCCTAACGTCCTGACCTGCAGATACACCACAGTCAACCTGAAGTCCTGACCTGCAGATACACCACAGTCAACCTGAAGTCCTAACGTCCTGACCTGCAGATACACCACAGTCAACCTGAAGTCCTAACGTCCTGACCTGCAGATACACCACAGTCAACCTGAAGTCCCGACGTCCTGACCTGCGGATACACCACAGTCAACCTGAAGTCCTAACGTCCTGACCTGCGGATACACCACAGTCAACCTGAAGTCCTAACGTCCTGACCTGCGGATACACCACAGTCAACCTGAAGTCCTAACGTCCTGACCTGCAGATACACCACAGTCAACCTGAAGTCCTAACGTCCTGACCTGCAGATACACCACAGTCAACCTGAAGTCCTAACGTCCTGACCTGCAGATACACCACAGTCAACCTGAAGTCCTAACGTCCTGACCTGCGGATACACCACAGTCAACCTGAAGTCCTAACGTCCTGACCTGCAGATACACCACAGTCAACCTGAAGTCCTAACGTCCTGACCTGCGGATACACCACAGTCAACCTGAAGTCCTAACGTCCTGACCTGCAGATACACCACAGTCAACCTGAAGTCCTAACGTCCTGACCTGCAGATACACCACAGTCAACCTGAAGTCCTAACGTCCTGACCTGCAGATACACCACAGTCAACCTGAAGTCCTAACGTCCTGACCTGCGGATACACCACAGTCAACCTGAAGTCCTAACGTCCTGACCTGCAGATACACCACAGTCAACCTGAAGTCCTAACGTCCTGACCTGCAGATACACCACAGTCAACCTGAAGTCGTAACGTCCTGACCTGCGGATACACCACAGTCAACCTGAAGTCCTAACGTCCTGACCTGCAGATACACCACAGTCAACCTGAAGTCCTAACGTCCTGACCTACAGATACACCACAGTCAACCTGAAGTCCTAACGTCCTGACCTGCAGATACACCACAGTCAACCTGAAGTCCTAACGTCCTGACCTGCAGATACACCACAGTCAACCTGAAGTCCTGACCTGCAGATACACCACAGTCAACCTGAAGTCCTAACGTCCTGACCTCCAGATACACCGCAGTCAACCTGAAGTCCTAACGTCCTGACCTGCAGATACACCACAGTCAACCTGAAGTCCTAACGTCCTGACCTGCAGATACACCACAGTCAACCTGAAGTCCTAACGTCCTGACCTGCGGATACACCACAGTCAACCTGAAGTCCTAACGTCCTGACCTGCAGATACACCACAGTCAACCTGAAGTCCTAACGTCCTGACCTGCAGATACACCACAGTCAACCTGAAGTCCTAACGTCCTGACCTGCAGATACACCACAGTCAACCTGAAGTCCTAACGTCCTGACCTGCAGATACACCACAGTCAACCTGAAGTCCTAACGTCCTGACCTGCGGATACACCACAGTCAACCTGAAGTCCTAACGTCCTGACCTGCAGATACACCACAGTCAACCTGAAGTCCTAACGTCCTGACCTGCAGATACACCACAGTCAACCTGAAGTCCTAACGTCCTGACCTGCGGATACACCACAGTCAACCTGAAGTCCTAACGTCCTGACCTGCAGATACACCACAGTCAACCTGAAGTCCTAACGTCCTGACCTACAGATACACCACAGTCAACCTGAAGTCCTAACGTCCTGACCTGCAGATACACCCCAGTCAACCTGAAGTCCTGACCTGCAGATACACCACAGTCAACCTGAAGTCCTAACGTCCTGACCTCCAGATACACCCCAGTCAACCTGAAGTCCTAACGTCCTGACCTGCAGATACACCACAGTCAACCTGAAGTCCTAACGTCCTGACCTGCGGATACACCACAGTCAACCTGAAGTCCTAACGTCCTGACCTGCAGATACACCCCAGTCAACCTGAAGTCCTGACCTGCAGATATACCACAGTCAACCTGAAGTCCTAACGTCCTGACCTGCAGATACACCACAGTCAACCTGAAGTCCTAACGTCCTGACCTGCAGATACACCACAGTCAACTTGAAGTCCTAACGTCCTGACCTGCAGATACACGACAGTCAACCTGAAGTCCTAACGTCCTGACCTGCAGATACACCACAGTCAACCTGAAGTCCTAACGTCCTGACCTGCAGATACACCACAGTCAACCTGATGTACTAACGTCCTGACCTGCAGATACACCACAGTCAACCTGAAGTCCTAACGTCCTGACCTGCAGATACACCACAGTCAACCTGAAATCCTAACGTCCTGACCTGCAGATACACCACAGTCAACCTGAAGTCCTAACGTCCTGACCTGCAGATACACCACAGTCAACCTGAAGTCCTAACGTCCTGACCTGCAGATACACCACAGTCAACGTGAAGTCCTAACGTCCTGACCTGCAGATACACCACAGTCAACCTGAAGTCCTAACGTCCTGACCTGCAGATACACCACAGTCAACCTGAAGTCCTAACGTCCTGACCTGCAGATACACCACAGTCAACCTGAAGTCCTAACGTCCTGACCTGCAGATACACCACAGTCAACCTGAAGTCCTAACGTCCTGACCTGCAGATACACCACAGTCAACCTGAAGTCCTAACGTCCTGACCTGCATATACACCACAGTCAACCTGAAGTCCTGACCTGCAGATACACCACAGTCAACCTGAAGTCCTAACGTCCTGACCTGCAGATACACCACAGTCAACCTGAAGTCCTAACGTCCTGACCTGCGGATACACCACAGTCAACCTGAAGTCCTAACGTCCTGACCTGCAGATACACCACAGTCAACCTGAAGTCCTAACGTCCTGACCTGCAGATACACCACAGTCAACCTGAAGTCCTAACGTCCTGACCTGCAGATACACCACAGTCAACCTGAAGTCCTAACGTCCTGACCTTCGGATACACCACAGTCAACCTGAAGTCCTAACGTCCTGACCTGCGGATACACCACAGTCAACCTGAAGTCCTAACGTCCTGACCTGCAGATACACCACAGTCAACCTGAAGTCCTAACGTCCTGACCTGCAGATACAC